TTTTTTTTTTTTAGACCTAGGTTGTAACGGCCGCCGTTTTCTTTGAGTATTTATTACACGGCGTGCTGCGGGGAAAGCCTGTTCTAACGTTTGAGTCTAAGGTTTCTTTTTTAGCACTTGACGACTCTTTTTTTTTTGCTTCTCATCCGTCAATACTCTGCACACTTTTTCACGTGATTCAGTTTATTTTGGAAATTCTCAACAGGAACGTGAGCTTTATTGTGAAAGGTTTATGTGGAAAATAAACAAGTGGACATGCGACGGTGTTACCGTCGTTGTTGCTAACGACAACTCATAAAAACAGGCGCTTGTCTGTCTGTAGTGTGGTTATATTAAATATGAGGAAGAGAGAACTTTAAGAAATTAATATAGCCACTACAGTGACCATCAAAACGATGAAAAAATATTGCCGTAAACGGTTTATTTTGCGACACCACGAAACAAATGATAGCGTAAAATGAAACCATAGTCGTTTTTATATCGTCATCCAATATATATCGTTATATCGAACAGCCCTAGTCTACCCTCAGACCATGTTCTGACATCAGATGCAGCCCATTTTATCAGGGAAGGCTGTTCACTGCTGATAGGGTGTTTTGATTATTTGGTTTGTGGTTTGGCAGGTTACCCGGAGTGCCTCAATGAAAGCCTGCTGGCCTAGATAGTTCCTTCAGTAGTGAAGGTCCACTGTATCTGTTGTTTCCTGATGGATCCAGCATTCCTGTCTAGGAATGGCTGCAATCCAATGGGGATTGCGCCATGGTTTAGAGGGCATTAAGAGTGCATGTCCATCTGGCAGGCGATGGGAATGCACTTGACTGGAATATGTTCCCAAGCCCTTCTGTATCTGCTTTTTGTATCTGCCTGCAGCTTTATCTTGCTAGAGAAGTTCAAACTTGATGAAATAGGCGTTTTGATAACAGCAGATGTGATTCTCAGTTTCTTGCCACTAGTGTTATATGGCCATTTATTTTTTTCTTTCACTTGACCGTTTCAGGCTTTAGGCTTCCTAAGGTTTACTTTTTCTACAAGGACATGGTAATGCACAGTGGTTTTCAGTCATAAACATTTTTTTTCTTTAATGGTTGAATTTAGATTGTTTAAACAATCAAGGCCAAAGAGTGTGGGTGTGTTTTGTCTCGGTCTGCAGCTTAACCACAATGAAAGATGAAGTTGAGTATTTCACAAGTAACTTTTTGTTAGACAAGTGCACAACCTGCTGTGTGTGTGTGTGTTTATATATACAGCAAAATGCTGTCATTAGGCAAGTAACATTAGGATAAGCAGTTTGTCTGACGTTCTCATTCTTTCTTTTAAGGCATGGGACCCGATGCGCAGGAGAAGTGGCGGCAGTTGCCAGCAATGGGATCTGTGGCGTTGGTGTGGCTTACAACGCAAAGATCGGAGGTATGGTGTGGATGATTGATTCAATCTCACAGAGGCAAAACTCAGTTTCATCTCAGGTTTTATTTTTTTCTTCCTCTTTTTCCCTCTGACTGCCAGAATGAGATGAAAAACTTGTTCTGCTGTGCCTGTGTTATTTTCAGCCCATTTCCCAGGCACAGCATGCCACTGAATCTCTTTGAACATCACCACAATTGTTATGTGGATTGCCAGTGTGTTGTAAGTGTAATGGTTTTGCATGGAGTAGCAGTGCTGAAATGCACTGAAATGACACAATCATATAGCTTTTATTGAATCTCCATTAGCCATAACAGTTTGTATACACGCTACACATAAATAAAAATGGCTTTTATACTTCAGGTGTTCTCTTCAGGCAAACTGTTCAATCCCCGAACCCATAAAATTATTAGTTAAATTATCTCTAACATTTTGTGACAGTCCTTAGCCAAGGTCAGTGCCCTGCCTTACATTTGTAAGATGTGTATTGGCCCCTTAGTCCAGCTCTCCACATAGATGCTTGAAATTAAGCTTTTTGTGGTGTAATTTTGCTGACAGGCATCAGCGCAATAAATTGCAATTTCTGAATATTTACAGGCACCTTGTTGTGCTGATGGTGTCTCAGAAGAAATGAAGGGACTCCTCAAGGTTTTAACTAATTCAGCATAAATGTGAATCTGCAATCTTTAGTTGGTCAAAAGCAAATCCTGCTTTTTTTGTCTTCTGTTTTTTAAGCCAAGTCCCAGACAGCCAGAAGTCAGATTGCTGTTCTACACGTTTGGCAGGGTCTCGTTGGCACCCTGCTGTAATTTCAGCTCCTGCTGTTTTCAAGTGATGCAACCACAAATTGACTGTGTCACTCTAGCCAAAGAAATGCCATCACCTCGTGTCTGTGTCCATCACTGTGCACATGCAGGCTGTTGCTGGCTTTCATCTTCACTCGTTGTCTTTTTTAATTTAAGAAAGCAAGTCCAATAAAATAAATCCCAAATGCATATTTGTACTTCGTTGTTTCTGGTTTGCCTCGTTGTTCTCTTTGTTTTACAGATATATTTTCCATTTTCATCAACAAGGCAAACTACTAATGCCAAATTTATGTGGCAGATTGACCCAAAACAAATCGGTTGATAGAAAACAATTTTCTTAAAGTATTTCTCTTATTTCTTTTTATGAAATAAAACAAACCAATTTCCTGGTTGCAGCTTCTCAAAGATTCTTTTCTCACTTTTATCACAAGATAAATATTTCCATCACTTAAAAAGTCATATTTTTATTATTTTAAACCATTTTAGATGTTTGTTTGATCGTTTAATTAACCTATTAACGAGTTTCCTAATAATGAAAACCCTAGTCTCGGTGCTAATGCCTGTGATCATCTTGTTCTCTTGTGTTTTTTTTTTTTTTTCTTAAATGCTTATTTTGCACTCCTAATGGGTTTCCTTGTTAATAAACTGTTTCAGTGAGCTAGCAGTTAAAGTGTCAAGGTGCAACTCCTCACAGATGAATAATCATATGCGGGTATTTGGCCTTAGGGGTCGGAGTGTGCTGTGTACCACTGTTAGTTTTATCTTTAAATGATGAAGATGCGGAGCAGCAGTCAGTGCCTGCTCATTTATGAGAATATACAAAAGCGGAGAGCGTGGCAAAATATTTTGAAATATTAATTTGTTTGTTCTAAAAAGGATTTTGCACCCCGATGGGTTGTTTTGCTTCTGCCTAGAGGGAGAGAGCAGTTTTATCGTTTCTCTTCCCATCCTTCAAAAGAAACTTCAGTAGCTTTTTGACATTATAACAAATATCAGATTCGATTTGTACATCTTGAATATCAATTATTTCATCTTTAAAAAAAGAAAGAAAGTGTAATTAAAAATTTTTTTCTCACATGCTAAAATTCCAGCCACATCAAATGGGCGGTTTGAAAAGAAGTTGCTGTGGAGTTATTGCCACTACATGTGTGCTGTGTTGATGATGATGATGATGATAATGGCTTAATGCTTGTTTTAGTGCAGAAGACATATTGTTTTGTCAGTGTTGTGGTGGTCTGATGACTCCAGGATGCAACCTAATGATGTTTAGTCCTTTTTTTTAAGGACTGCACATGCTGTAGGAGCTTTTTTTTTTTTTTAATCTAAGTACACGCTCTAGCTCACTATGTCTCTGCTTATCTCAATATCCTTCTGCCTACTTCCAGCTGTTATAAAGTTTGACTACTGTGTTCTTTATCTACACTTAAGGCTCTTTTCGATCGGTAAAGTCCAAACAAAACCACCATTCACAAATGACTAAAGGGAAAAAAAAAATCTTAAAGTATTCATCCACTTTTCACAAAGAATAACACTTTATTTTCTTATTACAGGGTACAGACATTTGCCAAAAATTTGCCTGACATATTACAACACAGTAACATGAGTCCAGATTGTGCAGATTCTTCAATAGCTCTAAAGAAATGGAAGGAAATGTGTTCGTCAAACATCAGAAACAAGCGAGGGAAACCCATTTATTGTT